TTGTGACACTCTGGCTTGACATTAGACACAACAGGAAAGCTGTCAACCCTCCCAAAAGATCCATGCTCCGGGGGCCTGGCACGGGCAGCCTTCACCTCTTGGCCCTGTAGGCCCAGGCTACAGCAAGGTTTTCACACAAGGCAATACTGAGGATGGGCAGGACGATCCAGTATTCACTCAGCAGCCAATAGTAGTAGATGCCTGAAGGTTGGATGAAGAAGAGGCCGCACAGGAACATCAGCACGGAAGCACCCACTGGAAGAAGCATTAGGTCTGCGTCAGGATCAGAGGCCTGGGAGAAGATGGGGCTAAGGGGAGATCCTAAGCCAGGGCTGGTGTTAGGGCTGCGGGGGAGCGGGGTCAAAGGTGGAAGTACCTGTAAGAATCCTTGGCTGTCTCCTGAAGAAGGGGAAGGTGTCCTGGAGCGGGGTGATGATGCCCAGCATGAACGTCACCATGGCACACAAACTCAGACTCAGCAGCAGCAGGAAAAAGAGCACAGTCCAGAAGAACGACCCAGGGAGCAGAGAGATGACCTCCGTGAAGGTCAGGAACACGAAGCGGGGGCTCTCCTCAATCTGCAAGGACAGAGAAGTGAAGTGCCTCCTCCACCTCCTCTCAAGGCTCACGCAGCAGGACCCCGCCCCTGCATTCCGGGGAAGGGGTTCTGTCTACTGCGACTGCACTGCGTTTCCTACATTACCCACATTTCTCTCCTGGACTAGTGAGAGCCGCGCTCTGTGGGGCAGAGCGGGCTCTCCAGCATCTCCACTGACCTTCAGAAAATGCTCCTGGATGTTGCATTCAGGCACCTTACTGAGGACGGAGCTCCTCAAGGGTGGCAGGAGGCGGTCGAGCCAGGAATTGTAGGTGGAGGTTGGGTTTTTCGTCAGGGTAGGGGGCCGCACCTCAGGAGGTAGGATCCCCTGGGCTACCAGCATCTTAAGTTTCTCTGCGTTCCTGAAGATGGGTGAATTAGAACCATCAGGCCCTTGGCACACTGTCCTTCCCTTGCTCATCTTACAGATGAGCGAGATCTCGAGTCTCATAGTACGAACGGTAAAGGACAGCCTGCCGTGAAGTCTGTAGGATGCCCACTTTCGGAGGCCATGAAGAATGTATGCCCTTGGGGAGCCCGGACTTCATAGGGATTCTTGGGCCTAGTCTTCAGCTTTTCTGAGACGAGTAGGGAAAAACCATCTAAGCCCTACACTTCGGAGAACAGGGAAGCTTCCTTAGACTGAAGCCTGAAGTGTGTGACAGTCCCAAGTTGTACTAAGTCAAAGAACTGTTGTTACCTTGACTCCGACCAGAGCCCTTGCCAAGAGCAGGGAGCAGTAAAAGTATGATCATGTCCTAGAAACTAAAACAGGATGCTCTTCTGGAGACAAGACAGCTACATACTTAGACTAATAGTCTCATTGCAAATCATTTGAGCTGAAAGATATTTTTAATCTTTTGTAATTTTTTTATTTTATTTTATTTTGGTTTTTCGAGACAGGGTTTCCCTGTAGCTCTGGCTGTCCTGGAGCTCACTCTGTAGACCAGGCTAGCCTCCCCAGGGCTAGGACTAAAGGTATCTACCACCTCCCGGCTACCTATGGTTTATTTTAAAATCAGCTTTTGGTTGTTTTCCTTTGTTTACTAATTTTGTTGTCTATTTTATTTATTTATTGCTCTTGTTTTTAATGCCCTTGCCCTTGGGGGGCCAGAAAGATGACTCAGCAATTAAGAACATGTACTGTTTCTGCGCCAGCACCCATGTCTGGCAGCTCACAGCTGCCTGTAACTCCAGCTCTAGGGGATCTGATGCCCTTTGGATCCTGTGGGCACTGCACTTACATGAACTATAGTCCTGACACATAATTTAAAAAACAGTAAAAATGAATCTTTTTCTCTTTTTTGAGACAGGAAAATGAATGTGAAATTCATTCACCTCTCTGTGGTTTTGATTGGCCTAGCTTGCTATGTAGACCTGGCTTGCCTTGAACTCACTGAGAATCTCCTACTTCTGTCTCTGGACACCCAGCCTAGCGTGCTTGGAGTCAGCCCGGGCTGTGTTGGTGATAGAAGAAAATGACAGCCATTTGTGGTCTACACTGAGATGTACCCAGGCCCTTTTCACTTTATGTATATATTTAGTTTTAGTTTTTTAAGATGCCTTTATTTTATTTTATGTGCATGAGTGTTTTGCCAGCAGAGGGTGGCAGAGTCTCCAGAACTGGAGCACAGGTAGCTGAGAACCACAGTGTGGGTCATGGGAACTGAATGTGGGTTCTCCGCAAGAGCAGCCAGTGCTCTTAATCACTGAGCCACCTCTCTAACCCTCCCTTTCAAATATTTATTTATTTGTCTATTTATTTATTTGCTGGTTTTTCTGAGACAGGATCTCCCCATGTAGCCCTGCCTGTCCTGGAATTTACTGTGTAAGTCAGGCTGGCCTTGAAGCTGTGATTCTCCTTACTCTGACTCTGCAGGACCTGGTAGGACCTACAGCTCTAGGCCTGGCTTAGTTATGAAGATTTTAACAGCCTTTGGAATGGGGCTTTGGAAAGAGACTTCTTGGAACTCAAGTCTTGGTCCTGTGGATAATCAGAGTCAAAACTTGTGCTTTAAGTTACAGTTAAGGCTGCCTTATGGATACAACTAGTGGAAACTTCAATTTGCCCCTTCTTTTGTTCATTTGCTAAACACCCTTCTGCACTTTCCCTGCCCCATGGGAGGACTGGCAGCAAGTATCTGGCTCACTGTGACATTGAAGGTGGGGCCTTTCTCATGTCATGTGAACATAGTGAGCTCTAGGACAGCCAGAAAGAGAGACCCTGACTCAAAATATCAAAAAAACAAAAGGCACGGGGTACGCGCGGGGAGGGGGTGCACGGGGGGATGTGGGGAGAGGGATATCTTGGTGTACCACTGTTTATTTTTCATATTCATTTATTCAGTCATATGTAGACGGAGAAGGCAGAAGAGGCATCAGATGCCCAGGAGCTGGAGTTACAGGCAGCTGGGAACCTCCCAACATGGTGCTGGGATTCAAACCTGTGTCCTATGGAAGTGTTATTAGCTGCTGAGTCATTTCTCCAGCCCCTTGATAATAGTTCTAATCTTATAAGAAGATCAGCCAGGTGGGGTGGTGCACGCCTTTAATTCCAGCACTTGGGAGGCAAAGGCAGAGGCAGGCAGATCTCTGTGAATTCGAGGTCGGCCTGGTCTACAGAGTTCCAGGACAGCCAGGGCTACACAGAAAAATCCTGTCTTGAAAAAACAAACAAACAAACAAATAAATGAAAACCCAGCCTAACAAAACACAACACAGAGGTCATCAAGAAGCTTCAGTGGGTGAAGGAGAGGTGGTACAGGCCTGGTGACAGTCCCTGGAACCCATGTGAAGGTGAAGGGCAGCACTGTCCTCACAAAGAGTCTTCTGACCTCCACATGTGGGCCATGACAGTCCATCCCCCACATCAAGTTCATACTCCAGTATTAGCCACACAGCTAAACAAGTAACACAAATATATTATTATATGTATGCATATCAGACTTGCAAAATTAAGCGGTCCAGCCAAGTTGAATAAAGTGCTGTGCAAACAGAGAGAGGACTTCTCCCGTTTCCCTGCTGGAAGGGTAATTCTGATTAAACCACTGTGGCCCTCAGACACGGAGCAGACCCTGTCCAGCTTCTAAGGCTTCATCTGCCCTGTGCATGTGTAAGCTCTGCATCCTCGAAGTCCACATTTTAGGATATCCCTGGTGTGTCCGTGTGACTAGACACATTCTGTACTAAATAAGTACAGACCGTTCCCGACAGTGAGGCGATGGCATACACCTGTAAGCCTAGCAGACAGCAGGCTCAAAGAGAAAGAAAGCTTGTGCGCTCCAAGGCAGTCTGGGCTACAAAGGGATGCTGACTCGAAGCAAAACCAAACTTCTGTGCAGTACAGGAAGAAATCTCCTCACAGCGGCAATGTGTTTGGGCTGTGCCTTCCTGGGGTGATTTCTGTCTACAGGGAGACACGGTGGGAATGGGTAAGCGCGAGAGTACATTACATGAGGGATGGAGCGGCTGCAGGTCAGCTCTGAGGTCTTCGAGGAACAGCTGCATCTGCCATGCAGAACTCTGCGTGAGACCAGGAGTGCATAGGTGCCATGGGCTACTTTCTGTGAACCTGAGCAGAAACACACCAAGGGAGGATCACAGGACTCAGGAAGCTAACCGAACTTGGGGGACACTGGAAGTCCCGAGAGGTCCAAGACACATGAGACCCCTCCCCAAGGTTATGCACACAGCCACAATTGCTGGGGAGACGACTCTTCCCAGAACTGCCAACAGGAGGTCCAGGGAGCTGCAGGGATGCAAGGTGTCACCTGCACGTGGCTCTCCAGTCACAGTGTTGACTTGAAGCCACTTGCTTTCCTGTAGGTAAGCCCTCACCATGCTCCCATGGGTGACCCAGTGCGTCATCACTTCCAGCCAGACCTGGGTGAAACCCTCTTGGCTCAGTTCCCTGTCTTGGGTGAACAAATATCTGTGTACATACTCGGGAGAAGTCACACAACACCAGCTTCCAGAAGAAAATGACAGCCGTTTGTGGAGATTGAGGTTACTAGGGAGAAGTGCAACTCAGGTTTGCCTTCTCTGGAAGGCCACTCTGACTCTCTCAGGCTCAAGGAAAGGCCCTATCTCCTCTCAGCCCGTATTACCAGGCACCAGAAGTTTATGGCTTAGTATTCCATTCTTCACTCCTTCTCCTCTCAAGGCTGGAAAAAGCAATAAAAGCAAGAAAGGCGCTGACGAACCAATCTGAGCTTCTGTGATGGCAAAGGGCACTTCATGGGTGGCACCAAGCTATGTTGACAGCAGAAACCAGCAGGATCGGGCTCCAGGTCTCTCACACAGTAGGGTGTTTACAGCTAATCAGGGTGTGCTTTGTAATCAAAATGACAAGGGGGCCAGAGAGATGCATCAGCCATCAAGAGAACTTGTTCTTGCAGAGGACCCAGATTCGGCTCTCAGCATCCATACTCTGACTCACAGCTGTTGGTAACTTGTTTCAGATCTGACACCCCTCTCCTGACCTCCGTAGGCAGCAGGTCTACACATGGTGTACATAGTCTATGCAGGCAAAACACACACACACAATGAATAAACAAATAAGAGACTCTTTAAAGGGATAAAAATAACGACAAGAGCTGGGCATGGTGACACACAGCTGCAAGCCAAGCTTCAAGAAGTAGGAGGAAGGAGGATCAGGAGTTCAAAGCTAACCGGGGCTAAACAGGGAGACCCTGTCTCAAAACACAAAACGTCCTCAAGGATCTTTGTTGTCACCACAGAGAAAGACTAAGGTCTGAGGTGACAGTGTGGTCAACACACACTCTGATTTTATCAATAGGCAATGTACACATGTATCGCAATGTACCCCATGAACTCATGGGATTGGAATGTGTCAATAGGACCAAGACAAGAGGAAGAGCTGTAGGACTGTGTTAGCCAGGAGAGAATCCTGTTCCCTAACCTTTTGGAGTTTAGCTTTACCAGATGGGCAGAGAACACTAAGTCTGGAACCCACAGCTCAGGGCCTGCGGAGGAAGCAGATGTCTGTGGATGGCTCTGAGAGGTGAACACAGATGCTGTTCTCTGTGTGAGTGACCTTTGCACGCCGGCCATTCTTAGCGTCTGCTAGCACGTCAGCTCTGAGGTGGCCGTTGGCAACCTCTGGCATTCTCTAATGTTCTCAGCTAAGAGGAAGCAGAGCTTTTAACCTCCCTGAAGTTGAGATGTGAGGATGGGTTATGAAGCCGCCCAGGCTAGACTTGATCAGGAAACTGGCCTTACTTCTCACAGCAGCGATGTGTGGTTATGGTGGCCCAGAAGCCCAGGATCGAGAGGATGAAAGGCATGAAGAACAGCAAGGTGATCATCTTGATCAGGACCATAAGGAAGGCGTCCCCCAGACAGTTGTTGAAGTCAGGCATGTATGAGGACAAGTAGACGATGGGCCCAAAGCCTAGGCCCATGTCTAACATGACCTGGACCCCTGCTTGGGACCACATGTTTGTGTCGTAAATGCTTGCCACCTGAAAAGGAGAGGCGGGTACAACAGGGACGTCAAGATTTGGGAAGGGACATCGTCTCTCGAAGGGAGGAGGTACAGGAGACAATGGTAGGCAGCTGCGCTGCTCTGCGGAAGGACCTCACCTTGAGAACCAGCAGGTGTTTCAGCCCATATACTGTTCCCTCCATGGGCAGAGTCCGGAAGAAGAAGCAGAAGATGATGAGATAGGGAAGTATCACCAGGACGTTCAGAACCTGTGCGGAGTGCAGCATGTCAATAGGGACTCGTCCTTGTGTGTAGCTCAGGGCTGGGGTAGGACTCAGAAGAGTCTTCATCCAGGCAAGGAGCTTGCAGGGGTAACTGACCAGGCGGGAGAAACAAGCTCATAGCCCTTGAGAATGCCAAGGGCCCAGTGCGACTCACCTTCTCAAAGGACTTGATCCCATTCATTATGAAAACACAAACGAGACACCAAGCCAGAAAGAGGCATATGCCCAGGTTGAAAGCTAGAGGCCCTCCGTCCTCTATCCTGTCTGAGGCTTTCAGGGTCTGCCGGTACCAAAAGTACGTGTAGGATGTTGCCTGCTCACATTCGGGATCTGGGAGGACATGGCTTTGGACAGGCCTGCTAGACATGCAAACCCTCCCTCTTCACCCCTGCAGCCCCCTGCTCTTTGTGTTGTCTTCCAATTCATGCCCCTCCTTTCTATTTTCTCCTCTTCCCAAGGCTCTTCGTTTCTCCACCTCTCCTTCCTCACCAAAGCTACTGGAGTTCCTTTGAACGGGACAGTGCTGCCATGGAACAGTGAAGTAGAATATGTGGCTCATGTAGAAGAGGATCCAGGAATTAAACAGATTCGTGTAGGTGTTGATGATGAAGCACACCTGGAGAGCAGGGAGACGTGTCTGGGAGGAAGAGCAGGGGCAGGGAGTGAGGGGTGAGGCGCAGCTGTAGGGGCAGGCTTGGGAAGCTTGGGGCTCCTCACCAAGAAAGAGCTGTATCCCAGTCCACCAAATCAGGGACCCAGGGCCTTCCACAGGTCAATGCTGGCACGCTGTACCCTCTGGCCAACGGCCATCTCCAGGAAGAGCAGAGGAATTCCAATCCAGAACAACATTAAGGTGTACATTATAAGAAAGCTGCCTGTGGAGAGAAGGCAGAAAGACTCTGAGAGCCTCGGGCCCACAGTGCCTGTCCTTCCTCACCAACAGCAGCCTCCCTCGGGCCATGGGCTTGAGGCTTGCTGGCTCCACAGTCCATACTGGTCACGCTCCTTATTCCTAGAGGTCTCAGACGCCTAGTTCCCCTCAGCATCCTCCTGGTTATCCCGCTGGCCTATGCTTAAAACCCTGCACTTCTGCTTCTCCTGACCCTGGGTCTCAGAAACATGGTTTCTATTGTTCTCCGGTATCCAGACCCCTCACAGATGTTATCACTGGGAGCCGGGGCAGCCTCACTTCTCTGTGCCTCTTGGGTTCCCAGACTTACAGCCTCCTTTGTGAAGCCACTGTGAGACAAAGCGCCAGAGCTGAATCGGCATCAGCAGGTAGCTCACCATGGCCAGGATGAACTTAAGCTTGCTGGACCAGAGCTGACGGGGAAGGAAGACGTCACTCTCTTCCCTGCTCATATATCTTGTCTCCTCTGAGGTTGTCACAGTTGCTTCTTTTGTGGCACTGGGCTTAGGTTGTGGGCCACCTCTTACCTGAGCCTCCAAAGCATGGGTCTCCCAGGCCCGAGCCTTTGCCACCCGGGTCTCTGAGACTGCGGCCTGTGTGTCCCAGGCTGACACACACCAAGTTAGGATCCCACCTTCCCATTCCTCAGTGTTCGACTCCAGCTCGGAAAGTCTTGTGACTGTGGATAAGTTTTGTTC